AGTTCGTCTTAATAGTTTTTAACAGCTTGATAGAGTTCACTATTTCAAAATGGAGCTCAAATCAATGATTAAAGATTCATTCAGAATAGACAATTCATAATGAAACTCTCTTTTAATTCACTTCTTATGGCTGACCATGGTAAGTGTTAGGAGATAGATAATACACTTTGTAAATATCAGTTACTGACCTATACTGTTTTGTCTAGCCTTCAGTAATAAATGCTCCTTTTATTTTATTCCTTATATCGATATTTCGTTAAGTACAATTCGTGTAGAGCAGTGGAATCTTGGATGGTAATTTGGCTATATCCAGGACACTTCGGTTGATTCTGCTCTTGAATTCATCTCGGATTCTACGAGCAAACAGCTTCTATCGATTAAAACCTAGTTGAAATCAAAAGCATCATCAAAGGGTTCGTCCTAAGAACTGATCACTTTACATAGTAAAAAAGCAGTGACAAGAATTTCACAATATCCATAAATATTCCAACTCTTCTCCGTTTCTTACACTTACACTATTTGTTTCATCATTTGTATTTCTTAATTTATAACACATTTGGTTGGAGGATTTCATCATGAGCTGACATCAGTTACAGAACCACTGGGAAACCTGGGAGTACTGAACAGCTGTTTCGTCCTAGCTCTTTGGGACTTTTCGGCATTACGCATCCACCACAGGAGTTCGGACCCAGGACATTCTGGTTACAAGGATAGCGAGGACGTAGACCATTAGGCCACTGAGACCCGATCCAATGTCCCATGAATTCTAACTTCCGCCGATTCACGACATAGCGTGATCAATTCGCAATGTCTTCTTCTATGAGTAACTGTCCTCACATTCAACCTGCTTTATCCCACTGGTCATAGCTTCCCACTAGAACCCCAGGTCACTGCCGGAATAGGGTCAGAGGCTAGTGAGCATCAGATCAATTTTCAAGTATTGGTTTTGTAGGGGATTTTGTTTGACTAGCTGGAGGATTTCATCATGAGCTGACATCAGTTAGAGGTCGCCTTGTAACCAGGAGGTCCTGGGTTCAAATCCCGTGATGTGACTGCGTACTGATGGAGGGTCTCAAAGAGCTGGGACAAAACAGCTGTGCAGTACTCCCAGGTTTTCCAATGGTTCTCTAACTGATGTCAGTTCATGATGAAATCCTCGAACCAATTAAGCAAAATCCCTACAAAACCAATACTTTATAACACATTTACAATGATATCAATCTAGTATGCAGTGTTAATCAATTAGTAGTCGGAGAAAATGTGGTGAAATGTTGCTGCATTAAATTATGCGTTCGGCAATCAGATCTAGGTGATGTGAATTGAAAAAGTGATGAGCAGTACTGGTTAACTTATATGGTCTTAAATAACTAACACTAATCATTAGAATTTATCTTGTCGCATTTTTGCCACCTTTTAGATGCATTTTTAATGTCCAGTAAGTTATATGATGTGAACTACAAGGTTTTCAGACTTCTGAAGGAAACGGTAGCACGATTCCATCTCAGAATGGTTACCTTGCAAATAAGTAGCTAAATCCTATTTATTCTTTATTTGTTGAAAATCTGAATCAGAAAAATTCAGATGAAACTGTAAGAGTGATCAATTAATACTTACATCAATCAAGTGTAAATTTTAATTATTTCATTCGAAATTGAAAGAACGCTGATACTGTAAATCATTCATCAACAGTACACAACATCACATTCTTTTAACTCTAATCAATTTGACTTTGCAGTGAGTAGAGTTCTTGACTTATTTAATCAGGTAAAAAAGTAAACTGTAAAAAAAATCACAGTAAGAAAAAAGCCAATCTACTTTGAGCTTGATTATAAAGGTGAAAACATATCAGCGATGATCAACAGAAGGCTGAGCACATTACTAGCCATAGCCTAGCCTGCAGCTAAGCTCGTTCCCGTCTATCGAACAACTTGCTCTTTGATGCAATCAAAAATAGATGGATATCCTTCTCATGTTAACTCCAATTGTATTTACAAATTTACGTGTATCTGCGGGAGCAGTTGCATTGGAAGAACAGAAAGAAGGGCATATCTACGATTTTCTGAACATGTACCAAAAAGCTTACGTCTAAAGGAAACAAATGCTTTAGGCAGTGCCCATCCTCGACACGGGTCATGAGGTGGACGTCGAAAAGTCGTTGAAAATTATCAATAAGCAAAAGAGATCAATTCTCCTTAAGTTTGCTGAAGCTATTTCCATCAAGCGCCTGAAACCTGATTTATGCGTACAGAAAGAAGTGGTTATCAGTCTTTCTTTGCCCTGGTAACTGGATATTTTTCACCTCTCTATTATCTGAATGTGAAATGCTGAAAAGTTTTCATTGTGTATGATTATTATTGCTCAGAATAGTGTTCAATATTGCATATATATACATATATTATTAGTGTATGCGTATACTGACCGATTGATTTTTGTTTAAAATGAACTCTGTGCAATCATGTTAAAATTGTTTTTGTAGATACATTTAATAATGTCTTTGCCCTGTGAGCAGCTGACGAGAAGGCAATGAAATAAAAGATGGTACCATTTTATTCTGCTAAAACTGTAGTTCTTGCTTTGTTCAAATTCATTAAGGGGAATAAATGTATGAAAGGAACGTATCAATCATCCGATGAAACCATAAAATTTTCAAGTTGTTTTAGGAGTGCCGAAAACCGGAGATTTTATATATTGGAATATTAGAAGAGAATCTGAAATGAAAACCCAGAAACACTTTAATTCACTTCATTTTTATTATCTGCTGCGTTATGATGAACAACACTATAATATCAGTGGATTTATTGATCATAATTCAGAAGGTTGTTGTTTAGCACTTGATATAGTAAAATAATTGACCTGAAAATTTCTCTATGACCAGTCCATTTATAATACTGGTAATTATTTGAATATTCCAACTAACTTTGTCACTATAGGGCTTTTTTCCCCTTGGGCTATATATCAGTCTTCTAACATTAGCATATCTTCTTTCTGACTTAGTCCTTTCATGTCTTTGTTGCGGTTGTAGTTGTGTAGTGTTGTTGATAATGAGTCGTTTTAAGATTCTGATTTTGTTTGATTGAAGTCCAGGTTACTCCATGAAGTGATAGCTTGGTCCTGTACTTTTTCCAGGAAACGTATTTTGTTCTCTTTGATTCTTGATGGCAGAGTTTTCATCCTACTTTGCTGAGAATATTCTTATTGATTCCTAGGTAGTTCACTATGTTTGGTCAATTAATTTTATCCTACAGCGCGTATTTTGTACCTGTATAGCTGCCGGACAGCACTGCTGAGGTAGTTTTATATTTCTGATATAAATTATTATTACAAAATAGTAATACAGATTCTGTCATTGAGATTATCTTCTTTATGTTGTTAGAACTGTACGTGACTCGTGGTAGTTCGGCAGGCTCTACAGAAGAATACATCAGTTGGTCCCTGCATTCAAACCTAAATACTTCAGTCTTGGTGGTGACACTTGGGATAGGTTAGCTATGTCACTAGTGTTGCATAAGCAGTAATAATAATAATACTGGGACTTGGGTTCGATACCGAAATGCACATGGCGACTTGACTGGAGATCAAATACGAATGTTCTCCCTCAGTATCTCGCGCCACCCGGAGCTCGTGAAGGATCAGAGGACATGATTAATGCGTGACGGCAGGGACGACAAATTCACTAGACAAATAAGGCATCTAACTTGTATAATGTTGTATATTGCAGAGCATCAATGGTTGTCCAATGAAATTATAGCAGAACCACATGGAATATATTGTTCAATCTAGTTCGATTAGGTCAACTGGCCATCTGACTACAAATTCTTGTGAAATCTTCAAACCTTCTCTCTTTTTCTATCCATTAAGATCCTTTTCTTCTCTCATATTTCTTTTCTAATTGACACAGTCTACGGCTTTAGTCTTTAAGAGAGTGGAGATAAAGCTTGCATTTAGACGAGCTAATTCTTACAGTATTTTCATCAGTTAGTCACATCACCATAAAGAGTTCAGAACAGTTAAAAGTCTGTTTGATAGGCATTAGGTGATAAACTGTCAGCTATTTCCATCTAAAAATACTCAGGGTCTCACCATAGTAAATTATGCCGCTATTTTGTTTCCATGATTCAGCATTTCTTCAGCTTGCTCTACTGCATTGAGACGAATGATAGTATCAGGGAGGGGAAAAAACTTCTTAATTTTGAGAGACTTGATATTACTCTTTTTCTTATGTCTATGGTGTGTCCTCTCAAAACGTTGTGGCAATTTAAATGCAATTGTGTGTTTGTTGGGCATTTTTGCGTGTTTCTCAAGCATTTTACTAACCTAGAGTTTTAGTTTGTAAACACTTAATTAACTTAAACTTGAGTTAGGAAGTTTTGTTCTTGATGGACCTCACAAGAACTAGTATCAGCCACACGGTAATTTATCCTATGGTTACCTAAGAATTTAGGTTTCGGAGTGTGCTGCTGTCAGAACTCCCACCGTGCAATAAATCTCTCCTTTATGTAATATGATACCCCTTTCTGTGGTTGCGTATATGTAACACTTTTAAGTGAAGAAAAGCCTCAATAAACATTTTCATCTAGCCTTGGTGACACATCACAAATGCCGACTTCTTAATCATAAATCACTTATTTATCTATTTACCGGTATCTGCCTCAAAATAGCCACTTCGTTGAATTTTGATTGGCCAATCTTGTTTTAGCATTCCTATTGGTCTATTTTGTTGTTGTAAATATTTAGTTCTTTTCCTATTATTATAAATAAATTTAGTCAAGTTGTAAAATTATATAGGCAAAGATTATTTAATAAAACTTTTTGATGAAAACTATTTTAATACATCTAAATGCACAGTTTTAAATTAATTCACTAACTTTAATATTGTGGATATCTAAAAGGTGAAAAAGAAGTGTCACTGAGGTCGAATGAGTTTATAATACATTTTATGCAAACATGATAGCTACTATTAACATGTTAACAAATCGACTACTCTTCATTTAAAAGAAATCATGTACAGTTCAATATTTTATTGTTATACAACGTTATTATTAGTAATTTTAATGGCTGGGAATTTCAATTTACAAGTTGCTGGTGAGTAGTAATGCAAACGCTTTAAATTTGATTTTAAAAAATTTATTTTACGTAAAGACTAACTTTGTCTTATTGTTTTCCTTGAATTCAAATTTGGTTTCAATAATAAGCACTAATATTAGTGATAAATTTGAATCTGTTCATATCATCAGTAAACGGATCACATAACTGTGTTGAAATTAAAGTTTTTTACGAGGTCATGAAGAGAAGTCACAATGTCAACTGTATAAAGATTCTAATGGATTGTTTAGATTTGAATCTAAAGGATAACAGGTAATCGGAAAAAGTCTCGCAGATCATTCAACCCTCTTCAATATCCGTAACACATCACAGTTTAAAGTTTTCTATCAAAATGTTCGAAGTTGGAGAATACCTTTTTCTAACTAAATATACATTTGAAGGAAATAAAAGACAAATTCAGCAAAGAAAGTTTTCTTTATCGACAAAATCATCTTCAGAGGCTGTACAGTCGTATTTATATTTACCAAAAATGTATAGTAGTCTATTATTGAGTAATAGGGGATGACATAATTGATGTAATTACTCAGAAATGGCTTTAGAAGTAAAGGTAAAGTAAAAAAGGTTGTAAATTACGTGGTACTCAACGACACAAAGGAAGGAAGAGTTAAAAATTTGATAAGGTTAAAATTGCTATTGAATGAGAATAAAGGTGGTTGGTTGTCAGTTTAAAAAGTGTGAACAGGGTGTGACAATGTACAAAAAGAAACATATGAGAGTGATAATAGTGAATTAATTATTAAAGTAACTGCAAACTAAGAGTAAAATTTAAAATTTTAAAAATATTAAAATTTTTTACAGGGAACGACTAGTGAAGAGGTTAAGACCAAGGTAGAATAAGAGACTGGAAAACTTTTTCTGTATACAAAGTTTGGGGTTGTATTGACAAATTGCCAGTGCCTCCGGCATACACAAAAGCTGAAACCTAATGCCTTTTGTACCGTTTGGCCTTACCTTGTAAATGATCTTGAAAGATGACTCTGGTGGAGCTATGTGCCTTGAGTTAACTATGTGTTCGAGAATTGATTTAGTAACTGTCTTGCATTGTCCTTTTGCTAACCACGCCGGATAATGTTCAGAGATGCTTTGTGCGCCCAATATAACTAGCACCACAGGCACAGGTGGTGGCCCAAAGTGGCAGTTTATCCTTCACACATCCATTGATCATTTGTCGGCTGTAGAAATTGATCCGAGTCCCAGCATACTTAAACGAGTTTGTTCCGAAAACGTTTGTGACAGGTAGAGTGTAATAAACAAATGATAATTCTTTCCGGGAACACTGATATCCATTTTCCGATCATTTTGTCCTCCAGCAAGTAGTCTTTCTGATTTATTGTTCTGTAAACGAAATCCTTTCTGTGGCTTTGTACTAATTTAACGTAGAAAACTGGTAGGTGACCATCCTTACGGTGAAATGTGAGGTGGAAAGTTTAGTTGATTAAGCTTCAAAGTAAAGGTACTTTCCACTGAGATGAGTTAGTGTATTCTACTTATGTGATATACTGAAGGTTCGTAGTTGTACTTTGCACAGTTAGAAAAATCTCATCCTGAGGGGTGTATGAAGGATAACATTCCAGTAATTGATTTAATTGATTCGATTTGTGAGAGTCCTCAATTTTTATACATTTTATATGCATTTTTATATAATCCAGTTTCTGCAAACTATTATGTAGCTTTATACAGAAACGTTAGTCAAGTATCGTGTAATAGAGATAATTATGTCAGTGTGTAGTAACCAAACAGACAAAGTTACGTGAAATTATTAAATAAGGCTTTCACACAGTGAAGAATGCACTCTAAATATATCACCATCACAGCTAACCATAAAATTGTTTGGCTCAATTAATCTTATCTTACTTAGTGTAAAAAATAATGAATAAATCTCATTCCCTTCAAGTGTCAACTTTGCGACCACATTTCAAACTTCTTTAGTAGAAACTAGTTAGCTTCATCAAGGAATAGACATTTGACATAAGTTACCCCTCCACTGGCGAATCAAAGTATCCTACAAGTCACTCATTAACCAGAGTAGTCCTATGGTAAAGTGTCCCAATGCAGCACTGCTTGATATAGGTTTGAATTGCCAAGAGGACAGTGGTACCCGAAAAATCACAGATAAAGACTGATGATGAGTGCCAATAAGCATGAAGCTCATGTCATGACCTTCTTCTCAGGTACTTCAAACTATCTAATAAAATAAAGATATTCAATGAAACTTTACGTCGTAAACAAAATTGTCTAACTGAGAAATAACAATAATAAAAACTGTAAATTTTATCAGTCAATTCTTCAGGGTGAAAGTTGTTAGGAGTATAAAAATTTGTTTAAACTAAGAGATAAAAATAAGGTAAGTTTAAATAAAATAAGTTTATAACCTAAGGCTATGTTAACATTTAGTATCCACAGCACATACTATTTATTTTAAATTGGTACTATTTGATATCTGTCCACTAAAGATGTATCTGCATATAAATGTTTGTTAAAATGAAAAATAAGAATAGAGTTTTAGTCAGTTGCCAGGAGAGTATGAGATAAGACCACCTAATATTTCATGTTTGTCTATCACACTTGTTAGGCTTTAACAGCCTATTATTTTTCACGTTTATAGGTAGATTAATGACCTATCTATCATATATGAAACACCCAAGTCTATACAAATAACTTGAATATATATGTATATTATTGTTGAATAAGTGGTGTAGTGAAGGTACACTTCACGGGCGATGTTCAGTATAACTTTAGTTACTGAAATTATTATTTGATAAACAAAGATTATGATTTGATAATCGCTGATGTAATGAAAGCTTGTCTCCCTTCAGTACTCGAATTACCCAACTACCATTCTACCATGTTTCTATTCCAGTCATTTCATTATCATAACATAAAACTAGACTTTCTCGGCTAGTTTCAGTGGACAATATTAGGGTCCCCATAACACTGTATTAAGGTAATTGGACTGAATACTGAGTCATTCTGGGTACTAGATATTTAAACATTTATGTTATCATTCTCTTCTGATATCTCACTTGATATCTATGGTTCCCACATCAATCTGGACTTTTTTCCAATCTACTTGGATTTTCCCCTAGGGAGTAGGCAGTGTTATGTGTCTAGTTGTAAGTGGCGGTGATTGGATTCTATCAGCAAATTTGCAAATTTTTATTAGAAGTCCTTATAGTACTTACATTTTGCTTGCTTTTATGGGGAACGCTCCTAAATGAAGACATTATGAATCTTTAGATAAAGTAGTGGTTTGCAGTTCTCGTACACTGAATCAGTTCAATTTCGAGTTGTCTAAAGTTTAGTTTTTTTTCTCTGTTTTCTCACAACCCTGGTCAGTACCTATCTAATGTTATTTATTATTTGTAATTCGGTAAACGGGGTAGACATAACTGTTTTGTTCTCTCACTTCATGCCTTATTATGTTAACTGTCTTCAGCTGTCTCTGACTGCTTCATTTATTCAAGTCTTATACATTATGGCTGTTTAGCTTTTCATATTTCGAAATTGCTACTTAAACTTATCCATCATTGTCTGCAATAACGTTGTATGTTGTAGTAGTTCAGACCTACCACATAAATATTGGCAAATATACAAAGTAATTAAGTTACCTAAGGTCGTGAAGTACAGCATCGATAAGAACGTGTGTACTTGAATACGGCTATATACACATGAAATCTTTATTTACTATGTTATAAGTGAACAGACTTTCAAACTGCATGTCAGAGGAAAGCTGTTCTGAGGTCTTGAGGTAAGGGAAGAGATGAAAAATAATATGATATATATTTTAATGAATGAAAATAAATTACCCAAGGGGGAATAGGTTTTCCTATTCTAATTAGAGGTAAAATAAAATTGCGCCGGTAAAAAAAAATAGTTCATGAAAGATTATTCGGTGGATGGTAACCAGGACATGTATTCTATTCATTCGGGGTCCCATCAACTGGAAGTGCCTGCATTCCCAGTGAGTGTTGCTGTTCCCTCTGAGACTCAAACTCAGCACCATGTGTATAAAACACCAAAAAGCGTTATTCACGAAACCGAGTGAGCCTTGAAAGTCACCTTTTGTTAATAGGTATCCGTTATTTTTTTAGGTCAGTTAGCTTCTTTGCCGTTGATTGACTGACTTGACGGAAATGTAAGGGCTCTGTTGACGTGTCGGATCCTGCTACAGACTATTCGACGATGCCTGAACGCCATCACTCAATGGAGATTGCAGGTACGTCCAGTCCTGAATAGGACGAAATGTACATTCTGGATTCCACTGCCAGTCAAGATTTAGCAAATGACGTCATGTTTATCCTCAGACTTTGTCGAAGCGTCCACATTCGGAGCCAACACGTCAACAGTGGCAAAACATTTCGATACAATCAGTCATTCACAGGGGATAAAACTGTCGCGAAGAAATAGTTAACAGAACTCTAATAAATGGACTAAACTGTATTAACTGGCCTGTAATATGAAGGAAAAGTTCATCAGTCTAAATGTTAGTATATTTCAAGGTATTAAGAATACTAAAAATTACCCGAGAAAGGTGTCTTTTCTTGGGAAATTTCAAACTGAAAATCATCACCCTGTTTACAGAATCATCTAGGTTTAAAAACTATAAAAAAGACGATTCTGTTGATGAAAACTTCAGAGGTACGGGTTGTTTTTTTCGTCAAATGTTCAACATCACCCAGGGGAAGATATCTGAGAAACACAAACAAACAGATATACACTGTTATAACCAAATGAAGGATGTAATTTCTTTTGAGTTTAATCTTAGTTAGTAGCCTTTTCCTACCAATGTTTGTTTGAAGCAATTGTTATTTACTTTCTGAAATGTTTACTTTCTTTTCGATGTTATTTTTTTGTGGTTTCAAAAGTGTTTCTTTTCCCCGTTAAAAGTGTCTTTCTTATTCGATGAATAATCTTTTGTCTAGATAGATAGGAAAACAGCAAGTAAATTTATCAAATTGCTAAGTGATTACATTGATTTT